TGCAACTTGGGTGTGGGCGTGGCCAGCATGTGACTCATCCGGCCTGCGGGCTGGGAGTTGAGACATTCTACTCCCTCTCCCCACCTGAAAAATGCTCTGATGCTAAGGAGTTAGACTGAGGGAGAGAAGGGGATAAGATAGGAGAGGCCTCTGTGGGGCCAGCCTGAGAGAGGGAAGGGGAGAGGATCAATGGGGCAAGCCTGAGGGAGAGAAGGGGAGAGGAGAGGCATCTGTGGGTCAAGCCTGAGGGAGAGAAGGGGAGAGGAGAGGCTGATCCTAACTACTCATTTATTTTCAAGCTGTAAGCGTCGAGTTATCACGCCTGATCACATATTTTTTTAGCGGAGCATGGGTATCCAGCTAGCAAATAATAGTTATTAGTATTAGTGTTTTGTATAAGCAATTGACTCAGACAATACACTGTTCATTAAGCACTTATGTATATTAAAGATAAAAACGTATGAATACGACAATAATATTGTCATTTTTCTTCGTCTTGCCCGCAGCCTTCCGCCAGCCTTGCCCCCTAAGAAACGCCAGTCGGCCCCCTCCCCTACGCGAGTGGCTATCGTGGCCCCCATGAGCCGAACAACCAGTGGTTCCAGTTTACCCATTGGGATCAACAAACAGGTAAATTAGCGGCCGTATCTGACCCAGATCTGACCCTGCTGGTTGGGGGATTCTGGGAGTTGAAGTCCACAGGACTTAAGGTTGCCAAGGTTGAGAAACACTGATTTAAAGTCTTAACTACAGGTAGTCCTTGACTTACAATTCATTTAGCGACCGTCCGTACAGCACACTGAAAAAAAAGTGACTAACGGCCATTTTTCACGCTGCGACAGACCAAGGGCCACGCGACCCGAATTCGAAAGACCGCCTGATAAGCCAAGCCAACGGGGAAACAGGATTCACTTCACACAACCGTGTTACAAATTTAACAATTGCAGAGATTTCACTTAACGCCCGGGGCAAGAAAGGTTGCAAAACGAGGCCCAACTCACTTATCCGCCCTCTCGCTCGGCCACGGAAATATTGAGGTTGTAATGTTAGAGTTTGTCGCAGGAAACTAATCCGGGAAGCACACACAGATAACCGATTCAGCAGGACTGATTTAAATAAGAAACTTCTTTATATGCAAGAATATTTGTACAATACCAAGAGCTGAGCACAGTTCCACTTCAGATCAGTAGACTAGTTTCGTTTCAGAGCTCAGAGTGTCAGGGTTTCAAATTAAATCAGAGTCCAAGGGAAAGCATTCCTCTAAGTTCCAATTTATGAAGAGAGCCACATTGCCACATCTGGGGAAACCCGAATCTGAAAGCTTCCCGGTCCCGTCCCCCCGTTGAAAGTTCAAGATCTTGCCCCCCACACCCACAAGCCCATCCCATGGTCCAGTCCCCCCACTGCCACGCTGGCAGCTTCCACCCATCCCGTTCCAGTCAGGTGCAGAGACAAAGGATGACCTTGGCTTTCTAGAAAGAATGTTGTTATGGCTACCTAGCATCTCACTCTGTACAATCCTCCCTCCCATTTTCCCACAATAGAAACGGCATAGTAGAATAATAGAAAGTGTGGCAGGCTAAAGATCCGAAAGAAAAGATGACTGCAGGCCTGACACAGAGTTTAAGACAGCTGAGCCACGCCCAGATTTCTTACTTAAGTTTCTGTTTCCAAATAAGCCTCATTGGCTGACCTTGTTACCATGTCTCTGCTAGTTCATGAATATTCTGATACATAAGTCAAGGACTACCTGCACAGAATTCCAGGGCCAAACTTAGAGAATACGTCCAAATTTAAGATCATTGCCTCCTACCCATAATTCCAACATTAAAACTTCCTTTCTGGATTCAGACACTTCAAATGCACTTGTCCGTTGGCCCATTCCAAAAAGAGAAGATTGAAGCATGTTGTCAGGATATCCATCTTGTTAAATTCCAGGATTGGTTGCTTATCAAGAGGTTGACTTTCTCAGAGGAGGAGAGAGGGTAGAAAGGGGAAGAGGAAGAGCAGGAGAAAGGNTGAAAACAACACATTCTACCCCTTGCTATTCCCCACCCCCTTAATGAGAGTGTGGCAGGCCAAAGATTCTTAAAGGAACTGCTGCAGGCCTGACAGTTGGATTGAGAGCTTGGTGCTAATTGGGTGGCCCCTTCCCCCAAAGTCTACAACAGAGACCGAGGTGCCCGTTGTGTAGGTGGGAGGGAGGATTTGGTAGCTGTTGGGTAGTCCTTTCCTCTAAAGATTAGGATGGAACGGTTGAGGGATCTAGGTACACACATCTGGCCTCTCGAAGGAGAAGATTAGGAGGAATGTGATCATCGTCTTCCAGTACTTGAGGGACGGTCACAGGGAAGAAGAAGGGATGGACTTATTCTCCAAAGCTCCTGAGCAGGACGAGAAGCAACGGGCGGAAGCTTGTTAAGCTCCAACCCAGAAGTTAGGAGAACTTTTCTGATAGTGAGAACCATTAATCAACGGGAACAACTAATCAACAGAATAGCTAGCTTCCTAGAGTTCTGGGGGCTCCATCACTGGAGGTCTTCAAGAATAGACTAGACAAACATTTGACTGGGATGGTGTAAGGCTCCTGCCTTGAGCCGGTGGTTGGTCTAGAAGACCTCTTAAAGTCCCTTCCAGCTCTAGGATTCTATGTCTGCATTGTTTTCTTCACCTAACGCATCATATTACCAGATGTCTTCTGGACATTCCATCAACCTTGGAGGTCTCTTTTCATAGTCTCTCCCTTCCTGCTTCTGCTGACCCATTGCCATCTTCCTTAAAAGGGAGATGTCCAAGCAGGTTCAAAAGGTTGGTGACCCTTGATCTAGCCCATAACTCATAGGTTTCCTGGTAGATACTCCTCCAAGGACCATCCCAGCTTAGTGAAGAACAGCCAAGGTTGGGTAGATGGTGTCCTCTCCTCCGTATAGTTTACTGGGCACGCTATGTTTATTGTTACCTTCTTTGGGGATATTTTTTCAACTTCCTAGTCTGATCCCCAAGTTTCCTGATGGTCTCCCATCCAGGGGCTCAGCGTACTTCCTAAGATAAGCTAAATGCTGCCATCTGCTGTTGCCACTTTGCCTTGCATGCAGGCATATAAATTCAGAAATATGACACTCGTGTAAATTAGGAGCTGTTATATAAATGATGGATGGATGGATATATTAATCAGCAACTGACAAAGAGACCATGTTCCGATATCTCAGGGGCTGCCCCAAAGAAGAGGGAGTCAAACTATTCTCCAAAGCACCAGAGGGCAGGACAAGAAGCAATGGGTGGAAACTAATCAAGGAGAGAAGCAACCTAGAACTAAGGAGAAATCTCCTGACAAGTTAGAACAATTAATCAGTTTAACAACTTGCCTCCAGAAGTTGTAAATGCTCCAACGAACACTGGAAGTTTTTAAGAAAACATTGGATAACCATTTGTCTGAA